GGCTTGAACTAAATTATTTTATTGTATCAACCAAGGATTTGTTTGCCCATATCCAAACAAGAAATTAATTGATTCAACTAAATGGGTTTCTCAGTGTATGCACTATGCGTTATGCGTTATGCAAAAGCTTGTGTCTGGGCTCTAAAGCCTACCGCACATGAAATGCATAATAGAGCATAAACATGTTGGTGTGAACTGAGTGCGCACTGGTGCGCACTAACTTTTGCCCAATCGAAAACGCTATATGTCTTTGGTATTATACTTCATGTGGCGCCATCTCTACATCATGTGAGTAATTAAATTCTTTCTATCAATCTCTGTATTATCCACGCTAAAAATCAATCCAAAATTTGCGAACAGACAAAGAGCTAAGGGTATGAGCACAAGGATTGCTTTGGTCGAGCGGTCTTATGTTATGTTTATGCTCTATTATGTATTTCATGTGCGATAGGCTTTACGCTTTACGGCAAGACTGCCGTAAAGCGTTACGGCAATCCTTGTGCTCATATCCTAAGAGCTGAGCGTTGTAAGTGTCTTAAGAGGTCGCTCGAGCGGATGTGTTCTGTCGCTATCTATAGGCCTGTTCTTTTTGGCTGAACTTTTGTACCAGTTCATCTTTTTTCCTTTTCTATCCGGAAGGAAAGAAGAGGAAGAAAGATGAACTGTTGAAAACGTTTAGCCAAAAAGAACAGGCCTTATGATTAAGTTTCCACCGAGGGTTACAGTGACTATTGAACCAACCAGAGTTCTCTATTACATGGAAGGGAAAGAAACGGAGAACTTCGATTGGTACGGGAGGGCTCCGATTGCGCACATCACATATTGCACACATGTATCGCTGATTGGCCAATTTAAAAATAAAATAATCTCATTGGCAAAACAGTAAAAAATTACTAGACACCAGTTGATATGAGTGGTGTGTACAATCAGAACTGTAGACAAACGGGATCCTCCCGATTGGTACATATTCTGATGTATTACGTGTTATGCGTTATGCAAGAAGCTGTGCTCCCCGCTTAGAGCCAGACACACACTCTTGCATAAAGCCGGTTCTACATTAGTTGCAAACCGATCGTAAGTTTGTAGCGACGGCCAATCTGAAGCTTGCATTTTGAAATCAACGCTTCATATTGGTTGTCGCAACAAACTTGCGATCGGCTTGCAACTAATGTAGAACCGGCTTAAAGC